ATCTTCGTTGGGAAAATGTCCATTCAGGTCTTCTGCTCATTTTTTAATTGGATTGTTTGGGGTTTTTTTTTGGTGGTGAGTTGTGAGTTTTTTGTATGTTTTGTTTATTAACCCCTTATCAGATATGTCATTTGCAAATAACTTCTCCCATTCAGTAGATTGCCTTTTTGTTTTGTTGATGGTTTCCTTCACTGTGCAAAAGCTTTTTATTTTGATGTAGTCCCAACAATTTATTTTTGCTTTTGTTTCCCTTGTCTTACAAGACATATCTAGAAACATGTTACAATGGCCAACGCCAGAGAAATGCCTTTGTTCTCTTCCAGGGTATTTATAGTTTCAGGTCTCACATTTAGGTCTTTAATCCATGTTGAGTTTATTTTTGGTGTGGTGGTGGGAAGTGGTTCAGTTTCATTCTTTTGCATGTAGCTGTATGGTTTTCCCAGCAGCATTTATTGAAGAAACTGTCTTCTCTCCGTTGTATATTCTTGCCTCCTTTGTCACAGATATATTGACCATAATCATGGGTTTATTTCTGAACTCTCTATTCTATTCCATTGGTGATCTGGCAATTCCACAGGGCTGTGTTCTTGGTTTAAGGCTCTGCTGACACCATTTTTGACAATCTGAATCAATTTTAAACAGGGCCTGACATTTTCATTTTGCACTTGGACCCACAAGTTATGTGACTATGTGACCAGTCTTATCTGATGATCTAGATGCCTAATGCTCAAAAGCCAAGAAAAGAATAGTTTTTCTTTTTTTTCTCCTCCTCTTCCTTTCCCTTTCTGCTTCCTGTGGTCACATACCTTCTCTGGGGCCATAAGCATAGAATAGCTTAGCTGGCTGAAATGGAGGTTGGAGGAGAACCAAGTGGGAAAAGAAAATACTTGAGGAAATTTTTGGTTAGTGTTTCAATTATATTTTCCCATCACATGGAAATAATCAATTTGCTGTTGTTTCACAGTGGTATGAGTTTTCAAGGTATTGGTGAAACAAAACTTCTGCCCCTTTTACTTGAAATAGCACAGCCTCTGTCTGCTGCTCACCAGCTTCTTATGTAATAGTTGTATTCCCTTTCCTATGCTTACTTATTCTAGATGAGTTAGGGTATGATGATCATGTCAGTGCTTTCAGACTAGCCCCATTCCAAAACCTTCTGTTGATTAGGCCGCTTAGATGTTTAATGTTTGGTATGGTTCAGAATCACTTCTGATAAACCTGCCTAAAAAATTAAATGTAATGTTAGGACCTCAGATCTCACAGGCTGGACAATTAGGATTCACCAATGTCATCTTAGTCTAGGGTCTTTGGATTTCAATCAACAGAACTTAAGCTTCAAGAGGGAAATCATCAGCAGGCAACAAGGTATATTCTTTGATCTAAGTGCCTAGAAAAAAACGATAAAGTCTCGATGTACATGGAACTAACATTCTGGGAGATCATGTTATATATCAGCCAACATATATCGAGTGCTTACTATGGGCTAGACCCAGGGCGAAATGCTTCATATACATTAATTTCTTTTATCCTCAAAACAACTTTACATGTTAGGTACTATTCTTATCATCTCCATGAAGACACAGAGTGATTCAATATACTTGCTTGAGGTGACATAGCTGATAGGTATTACAGCTAAAATTTGAACCCAAGTGGTCTGAGTCTTGAATCTGGACATTTAACCACCTCCATCTTTCTCTAAAGTATCTCAGAACACAAATACATAAAATGTAAGTGGAAATAGCAAGAGATTAAGGCCAGGAACTTGGAAATTGTCAGGAACCAAGATTCTCTCCTCTTAGGCTCATTTCCTCTGGGGCTGCGCGGTTTACTTTTGCTGATTTTCTCATTTCTCTCCTTCTCTGAAGATTAGATTTTTCAGTTTCTCCTTGAACATAGATAAAGATGGTCATCTCACTGAGAAAGCCTCAGTTTGTACCCTCACATCAAGACTATTCAGGCAACCAATTGAATGCTTGAGTCCCAATTTTAAACCCTCAGAGGATAAAGATCCTGACTGGCCCAGATTGTTTCAGCCACTGACCAAACAGCCATGGTCAGAAAAGGGGCTTTGTATAATATAAACAAGGCTTTGGGGCCCAACACTGTGGGTAGAATCATTCCCAGTTAAAGGGTGATATGGGTGAGGTATGTCAAAAATATCTGCCACATCTACTATTATCAAGGTATGGTGTTGTGGGAAGATCATTGATGACACTAATTGTAAATAGGTAAAATTTTGAGGAGATCATGTGTTATAGGCTGAATCATGTCCCCCTTCCTCCCCAACCCCATACATTGAAGCCCTAACCATCAATATTACCATATTTGAAGATAGTGCCTTTAAGCAGGTAATTAAGGTTTAATGACATTTTGAGGGTGGGGCCCTAATCCAAAATAACTAGTGTCTTTATAAGAAAAGGGAGAGACATCAGGTACTTGCCTACTTTGGGGAAAGGCCATGTGGGGACAAAGAGAAAAGACAGCTACCTGTAAGCCTAGGAAAGAGGCCTGAGGAGAACCTAATGCTATTGATACCTTGCTTTTGGACTTGCAGCTTCCAAAACTGTGAGAAATAAATCTCTGTTTTTTAAGCCCCCCACTCTGTGGTATCTTACTATAATGGCACAAGCAAACCAATACATCATGTAATCTCTCTATACTTCTATTTATATTGTTTGCAGAAGATGGCTACTGCTGGTGATAATCTTTGTGGGTTTTTCCAGCTTTAACATCAGGTGATTCAACTTGAGTGTGATTTTGGGGTTGGATAACATGTGCCTGTCATACTGATTAAAAGCAATAAGTGTCATTGGGGAGTTATAAGACACATTTTGTGTAAAATATTTTTTTATTGGCTTTCTTATTTTTGTCTGTCTTGTAAAGAAGAAGAAAGATTCTATGATCTGACTTCACTATATTTTTTCTAGGTGTCATATCTGTGGGTTGAGAGCACACTATATGACAAAAGTTGCTGTAATTTAATAGTGTATTTTAAAATATCTTGGTCATAATGAACTCAAATATGATTCTCCACCCATTAGCTCCAGTTGTGTTTTTTGATTTTGCTTTATTTTGGTAACGTCACTTTAAAAATGGGGTCTCCTGAATTGAATTTATTCTCTAAATATGGTTGGACCAGTGAAGAGAGGTTGTGGACAGTTTTTATTACTGCTGACATTAGCTGTTTTAGTGGTCATTCTTCCCCCATTTGATCAGATATCACTTCCTTAAAAAGTTTCTATTTTAGGGGCGCCTGGGTGGCGCAGTCGGTTAAGCGTCCGACTTCAGCCAGGTCACGATCTCGCGGTCCGTGAGTTCGAGCCCCGCATCAGGCTCTGGGCTGATGGCTCAGAGCCTGGAGCCTGTTTCCGATTCTGTGTCTCCCTCTCTCTCTGCTCCTCCCCCGTTCATGCTCTGTCTCTCTCTGTCCCAAAAATAAATAAACGTTGAAAAAAAAAATTAAAAAAAAAAAGTTTCTATTTTATGTGTCTGCATTGAAACCTACCCAGTACTCTATCACCCAGATTTGTAGGAATTTGTTTAATGGTATGTTTCTTCACTTAGAGCAACATGTTCGTCTCCTCACATTTACTGCATTTTGAGTGTCTAATACAATGTTTGGATACTAGAAAGATACGGCATACATTTGCTGAATTAAATGAATGAATGTAATTGTTTTGAAAAATTAAAACATTAACAGGTAAATAATAGAGTTATTATGCTTCTGCATGCATATGGGGAAATTTTATGGCTGTTCTGAATTATCTTAATCTCTGTGTCAGGTGGAGTGTATTCTTGAATACAACTGTGAGCAAGCATCTTGAAGATAGATGAAAATACGTAGGTAATTTTTAGAAGAATTATGTTCAAACTGGTTATGAAATAAACTTTACCCCTCAGTGTTGGCCAGAGAAAATGTTGGAGTTATTGTAACACATCAAATTTATATGCTAATTATTTATGTTTTTGTTTATGACAGGGAGAGAGAGAGAGAAAGAGATGTGAAGGGAGAGTGGGAAGTGAGGAAGGGCTGAGAAGAGAGGTACTGATTTTAAAAGATTTGGCCCCTGCCTTTGAAGGGCTGAGTCTGATGGAAGAGACCAACAGGGAAATGGATAATTACAGTACAAAATTATTAGAATAGGGAAACTATGCATTTAATGCGATCTAGCTCTTCTTGAAGTAGCCAAGAAAGCTTTCACAGATAAGGTAAATTTTGATTTAAGACTTGAGGAAGTGATCAATGGTCTTTTTGGCAGAGCACAAAGAAATGAGGCTCTACATGACTAATTGATTTTTCACTTCTTAGCTTTTCCGAAGTTAAGTTCTTTGTTGACGTTTTTATTGCCTTTTCTCAGCTGAAACCGACTTCTCTGAGTGGCATACGTCTGTCTCATGTTCTAGAATGACTGTGGAGATGACACTCTAGACTCAATGTAGTAGCAATCATGAAGTGACAGCCTTAAAGACTTTGGTTTGCCATTAATGAGTTAATGTGATCTTGGGTAAGTCACTCACTCTTTCTAGGCCTAAAGGGTTTTATTAGATAATCTTCTCTGTTCCCTTCCAGTTCTAAGAATTTGTGGATCTTAGGAAAAAGACATTGTGCTCTGGTAGTAAGAGGATTTGTACATTTCACTCATGGAAATTACTCTTCCCTGTCTGAAAGCAGTAAAAGAAACGGAGTCTGTCATTATTGCAACTACTTTGAATTTTTCTTTTCTTTTTTTTTCTTAAGTGAATATTTTGGACTTTTCTGATTAAATTACCGTTAATTCACTCTCAGGTGTTTGCTTCCTGTAGAAGTTACTGGCCCTTTAAAAAAAAAAAAAAAGAACAGGGCAAGAGGGCGAGGCCCAGGGACTCAGGTGCCAGCTAATCCGGCTTCTTCCGGGAAAGTGGCCCTTAGGCCCGTCGTATGACATGCTGGGATTTGAAGTTTCTCCTAGGGCCTCTCTCCCTGGACGACTCCTTGCTTTTGAGGGCAAGATGGACTACAACTCCCAGAGTGCCAAGCGGCAACAGCAGCGGGGTCTTGTTCGCTCGCTGTGGCTGGGCGGCTAGTTCAAGTTGCCATAGCTGCGAGTCTGGAGAGAGCAGAGTCGGTTGCGCCGCAGCGTCAGGTCAGTTGCACCTTCTGGGTCGCTGGCGGCCGTGGGAGCCGGGAGGGGCCTCGGCGATGATCCGGCTTTAAGGACTTAGGGTCCTTTTCTATCTCAGGTACCTGACCTCAAATGCCTACTCGCCCTTTCTTTACTGCTTCCTTATCCTATCGTAGTCGTTTTAGGTCTCACTTCCCCTGGTCCCAGAGGTGGGGACACAAAAGCTACAAGGAAATCTGGAGTGGGGCTTTGGGTGGGTGGAGTGTTGCCAGGGTAGGGGGAGACAGCGTGCCTGGTATCCCGTCGCTCCTTCTCTCGGCGTGAGTGTTCACAGATTCTGGCCAAGTCATCCAGGGAATTTGAATTACGTAGGCTTTTTTTTTTTTTTTTTTTTTTGAGCGGTTAGTTTTGTTGCTAGCAGCTGCGAAGCCTGAGCTGTCAAGGATTTGGGCTCATTCTGGTGTTAGCTTGATTGGGATATAACTTGACGTTTTTGTACCTGTTCTATGGTTACAAAAGTTTGCTACCCTTGGGAACACTGTATCAGCGACCCGGCTTTCCCAGGCCATGAAGGAGGTTGCCCCAACATTAGCTGTTAACAGTCCCTTATTTGAGTTATTTAGCAGGAACACCTGACATTGAATTCCAGCCTCATCCTTTATTGGTTTGATGAAGCTCAGTCACTTGCACAGACGTCTTTAAAACCACGTTGCAGGGGCGCCTGGGTGGCGCAGTCGGTTAAGCGTCCGACTTCAGCCAGGTCACGATCTCGCGGTCCGTGAGTTCGAGCCCAGCGTCGGGCTCTGGGCAATGGCTCAGAGCCTGGAGCCTGTTTCTGATTCTGTGTCTCCCTCTCTCTCTGCCCCTCCCCCGTTCATGCTCTGTCTCTCTCTGTCCCAAAAATGAGTAAACGTTGAAAAAAAAAAAAAAATAAAACCACGTTGCAGCTGTTCTCAGTTTTGTGTGGAGTATCTAGCACAGGACCTGACACAGAAATACTCAGTATTTGTTATTTTATCAACTATGCAGATCTTTGCTGTGTAATAGAAATAAAATGTGAGCCACACACACGTTTACATTTTCTGGTGCCCACGCTAGACAAGTAAAAAGAAACTGGTGAAATTAATTTTAAGAATTTATTTAGCATAGTATGTCCAAAACGTTTTCATTTTGACATGTAGTCAAATATAAAATTTATTGAGATATTTTACATTCTTAAAACAATTTTTTTAATGGCATTAAGTCTTCACATTCTTTTATGTATTTTACACTTACAGCACGTGTCATTTCAAACTGGCCAGGTTTTAAGAGCTCACTAGGCCACATGTGGCCAGTCACTACTGTATTGGCAGCACAGATAGAAGATTAAAACTTCAGCCATTTCACATTGGCACAGAACAGTTTGGTTTTTGGTATAACTCACCTGGGGAAGTTTGCCCCCCTCTTTTTTTTTTTTTTTTTTTTTTTAAAGAAGAGTGAATTGTGCACTATACCTGTGTCATCCCAGTCTGTCCTCTCTGTCATTGCATGATGTGGGCCATTTTGAACCTTCTAACAGTTTAACTTTTCCACAATACTTTTTTTTTTTTTTTTTTTGAGACAATGACCAATTATCAGAATAACTAGCTGGGTTTTTGCAGATTGCTTTGAAAGTAGTCACAAAGAATTGAAAACATTTCTGTCCGTAGCTCTTTCCTACAACCAAAGGCATTTTACTTACTGATTTGCAATACTAAATGTGGGAAGAATTGGGCAGCTTATAAAATGTTGCCTTTAGGAGTGCTATCAGATAGTTCCTTACTGGCTTAGAAATACAATTTAGCCATCAAATTCAGAAGTAACATGTTAATTTCGTTATCTGCCTTAGTTTACCCACTAATAGATCTGCTCAGGGACACTACTTTTGGCCAGACTTTGGCTACAATTCACCCTAGCCAGCCCAAGGGGTGACCAGGCATGAGTGGAAGTGACCAGTGAAGACTATGCTGGCTGGGCACTTGGATGTAAAGAATTCCTGTGAGTTCACTGGGACTTTTACATGATCTAAGGATAATTTTCTGTGTTCTCTGATATGCACTAAATTGTGTGTAGTGAGAGTGAGCTTATTTTGATCTTTCATTATATAAAAAAATTAAGGTTGTAAGTGTGTTTTACCCCCATGTTTCATTTGTCTGTAGGTGATTTGGGGAAGGTGTAGGGCAACCAAAGATCGTCTACTTGACTAGGCCTTTTGCCCTGAACCTCATGAAGAAATGATAGGAGGCAGACATATGTGCCAAAGAAGAGCACTGAGCTCAGAGGAGAACAACACGGAGTTTTGGGGGTGTGTTTTGTAAGTATGCTTTCTCCCTGAGTTTCTGAGCTAACAAATTTTTGCATATGGTGGATAAATATATTTCAACAGATAGACTTGGGTGGGGGGGGGGGCAAGAAACTCCTTTCTAATATGTAGTACAAAGACAAAATAGGATGGTTGTGAAAGGGTGTTACAAAAATGCACATGAACAAAATAGATTTGATGTTACAGAAATTCAGGGGGAACAAACTAGATACCTCAAACAAAAGCAACAGTGATGCATCTGTTTCTGTTTGACCAGTATTTGAGAACCTATTTTGTCCCAGGCACTGTATTAGGCACTTTTGCATTTTATCTCTGTGACACTTTTATTATGCTTATTTTCATTTTACAAATGAAACAGTTGAGGTTAAGAGAGTTTTTTGTCGTTCTTGGTATCTGAGCCCCAAAAGAGTGGTCTTTGTCTCCAGATCTGTTGATTCCAAATCCCAGTCCTGTCCACTACAAAGAGGACCCATTGCTGTTTATGACTGCTCTTAAGTCAGATTTGATTTAGAGTTAGCGTTTTTAGATTAGGTATACCATATAAGCAATGTTTACTGTTTTTTGTCTCTTTATATATTCAGAGGGTTCTGTTAGCTTTTTCAGTTTTTTTAAGGTATAATGTTCTTTACATTATTGAGGTAAGAGGTAGTTATAATTTGTGATTTCTGTAGAGTATGCATATTCAACATTCAACATGAATTGAAAATCAAGGGTGTAGTGTTAAAAACTCAAGTGTTGCAACATAGATTTAAAGTCTGGACACTTTTTAACATTTTCATGTTGCATTTTGATAAAGGCACTTAAACATATAGGGGAGACCCATTGAGACCTTGCAGTAACACTGTGTCCAAGATCTGTGTTGTACAAAGTCCTTAGATTTAAAGAATTTTAGAGCTGGAAGGACCTGCTAGGATAATCTAGCCCAGAAATTCTCAGCTGCAGTCTTGACACATCTGGGAGTAATATGCAAATAATCTAGAGTTTATTGTTATCCATAGAGTATTGTCACTAGGTTGATTCTACTAGAAAGTGTTTTCAGTATGTTCATAAATATCCCATAGTGTGTTTTTATTTCTTGTTAATATTACAAGTCAGCACATAAAATTCTCCTTGTGGGTTTTAACTGCTACCAGTATCCCAATGACTAGATACATTTACGGTATTATTTGTGTTTTTTCTTATTTATTTATTTACTAACATAAATAACTCTGCAATGAAATTGTATGTACACCTATAGGTAAGATGTATACATTTGACTTCTGTTTTCCTGGAATAATATTTATAGATGTAGAATCTAAAAAAATTTTTTTAAACATTTATTCATTTTTGAGAGAAAGAGAAAGAGACAGAGCATGAGCGGGGGAGGGGTAGAGAGAGATTGGGAGACACAGAATCTGAAGCAGGCTCCAGGCTCTGAGCTGTCAGCACAGAGCCTGAAGTGGGGCTCAAACTCATGAATGGTGAGATCATGACCTGAGCCGAAGTTGGATGCTTAACTGACTGAGCCACCTGGGCGCCCCTATAGATGTAGAATCTATATACCTACTAGATAGAATCTAGATGAATATTACTTATTTTTACTTGTCAGTTTTCTAGAAAAGCTATTCTGTTAATACTCTTACAGTAAGGGGGTGCCCATGCCAAAGCTTTTTTTCATTTATACAAAACAGAGAAAGGAGAATCTGATTCTATCATTTTAGTTGGCATTTATTAGTGAAATAAAGTATGTTGTATGTTTGTTAGGGCTATATGTGTTCTGTGAATCGCCTGTTTATGTATCCTTTGCATCCTTTACAACTGCACTATTCTTTTTTAAGTTAATTTTTATTTTTTGAGAGAAGGGGAAAGGGGCAGAAGGAAAGGGAGCAAGACAATCTTAAGCAGGCTCTATGCTCAGGCAGAGCCGGATGTGGGGCTTAATGTCATGATCATGACCTGAACTGAAATCAAAAGTTGAATGCTTAATTGACTAAGCCACTCGGCACCTAATGATTATGAGTGGTCCTAAGAGGCTGATCAGGCTTTTCTCAGATATAACCCCTCTCTGAAATTCTTATAACTCTTTTTCTTTCTTATTTATTTATTTTAAGAGATAGTGAGAGGGAGAAAGAGGATCCCAAGCAGGCTCCATGCTGTCAATGTAGAGCCTGACACAGGGCTCAAACTCACAAACTGAGATCATGACCTGAGCCGAAATCAAGAGTCGAATGCTTCTACGACTGAGCCACCCAGGCGCCCCTGAAATTTATATAACTCTTAATGTAGATCTGTACAATGCTGGTGCTTACAGTGTTTGGGAGATGGGAGTATTTGTGGTTACATGAATCCAGTTAGCTGATGAACGTTTAGAGTCTACCCTGTGCATAGGAGTTGCCATATAAGTGCTCATGAGTGAATGAATGAGTGCTCATGGGTGAATGGATGAGTGAATTAAAGGTAAACCTAAACTAAGCTTTTCTGAAGAGAGATGTCATTGAAAAAGTGACCTATGATTAGTATTTTAAAGGAAGAAGAGATAGGCAAATTTTATAGATCCTAGAAAGAAGAGAAAAGCTTGTCATGCGAGAGTGAAGGCTTTAAAATGGCAAAAATGGGTGAGTGGCAGTTGGTACATTGAAACAGTACTGAGAATGGACCCAGATGATAAAGAGCCTAGGTAATTTGGAGTTTAGAGCTCTGTAGTACAGATAAGCAATAACTGAGGAATTGAGGAATGCCGGTGCAAATGACAATGATAAGGTGATTTGTAGTAAGTCAAGGAAATCCTCTAGTTTTTTAATTAAAAAAAATTTTTTTTAATGTTTATTTTTGAGAGAGAGACAGAGTACAAGCAGAGGAGGAGCAGAGAGAGAGGGAGACAGAATCTGAAGCAGGATGCAAGCTCTGAGCTGTCAGCACAGAGCCAGATGCAGGGCTCAAACTCACGAACTGAAGATCATGACCTGAGCTGAAGTCCGACAGTGAACCAACTGAGCCACCCTGGCGCCCTGGAAACCCTCTAGTTTTGATTCAGTTATAAGTTTTCACACACGTATTCAAGTCAATTTGAAATGTTTATCCTTATTTACTCTAAATAGACATATTATCAAGTATCAAAAAGTCCTATTGATACTGCTTTTCAGTTAAATCCATATTGTTTGAAGGCTTAAGATAATTAATCTAAGCCATTTATCACTAGAATTATTTCATGCAACAATTATTTAATTAGTACATGCTGTTTGCAAGGGCCTGTACTTTGAAATTTGTCTCTGGATTAATCAGACAGGAGAATAAGGAAAATTTACCTGTAAATTCATTTAAAAATGTTCCAACTACATGCCCAGCACTATGCTAGGTATTGAAATACAACCATGAACAAAGTAAATAGAGTCTCTGTTGAAATTTGGAGTCTACTGAGGGAACAGACAAGTAAACAGCCAGTTTGTCTATCGGCTGTAACGAGGTCATATCCACTATGGGCACTTGGCCCGGTATTGGGTGGAAGCAGTGAAGGAAAGTTTTTTAAGGCGCGTTTTCTGTGAACTCAGATTTGAAGGAAAAGATAAGAGTTAACCAAGGGAAAAAGAGTGAAAATGTTCTAGGCTGTGAATCTGGCAGTGAAATGAGTCTGACCTATTCAAGGAATTAAAAAAAAAAAAATATGTGTCACAAATATTAACATTTTATGGGCATGTTTAATGTCTTACTATGATTATAGAGCTATAAGAATGCAGAGGAAGGACAGATCACTTCTGGCTGGAGATGAAAGGCATCCGTGAAGTTATATTATCTGTGCTATGCCTGGAATGATGAGTGGACTTGAAATAAGTGGCAATAGTAGACAGCAGAAGGTGTTCTCGACAGAACTAGTGACATTAGTGAAGAATGAAGTGGTGGGAGAATCTGGTGTAACAGCAGCTGAATGTGGGCCTTATGCTTGTTATAGTTCTTTTGTTGGAGAAGGGGGGTGGGGGCTAGCTGAAGGTCTTGAATTCCTGAATTCTTGAATTCAAGAACCTAGACTCAATCTTCCATGGGCAATGAAGTGTCAGTGAAAGTTGGAATGGACAGGAAAAGACTCCTAGTTAGAGAAACTATGTTGGTGGCTAGGAATGAGTCGAGAAGAGTCCTGAATTCTGAGTGGTGCCATTGGTGAAGAGAAGGGATAACTAGGAATCTTGGGCTTTGGAGAAAGGTTCAAGACTCAGCTCTGCCACCTGGTAGCCCTATAACCTTGGACACTTAATACTCAGTTTCTTTACACCTTTTGTATATATATCAGGACAATAATACTTTGTAGGGTTATTGTCATATGGCAATCTGTTATGTGAAAGCACTAGTTATTCAGCATTAATATTGTCTCAACTGTTGTTTTTTGAAGGATTTTGAAATTGAACTTTTTAAAGTGGGGTCTACTTCCATGGAGTCCCAATGATTTAATTTTTAAGTGTAATTGGTTTTAAATGATATTATGTTTATTTAAATAGTATTTAAAGGATATTATAGTGCATGTCATTCTAATTGGATTCCTTTCTAATCCTGTAGATATTTTTAAAATTTTTTAAAAATGTTTATGTTGATAGAATCCCAAGCAGGCTCCATACTGTCAGCGTAGAGCCCAAAGTGGGGCTTGAACCCATGAACCTTGAGATCATTACCTGAGCTGAAATCAAGAGTCAGACGCTTAACTGACTGAGCCACCCAGGCGCCCCTAATCCTGTAGGTTTAAAATTTTTATTCGTACTTTTAAAAACATTCCCAGAAACAGTTCATGGTACAAGTCAAAGTTAAGAACTCCTAATACCTTTTTTTTTTTAATTTGTAAGTTATATTCTCCCTCCCTCCCTCCCTCCCTCTCTCTCTCTCTCTCTCTCTCTCTCTCTGTGTGTGTATGTGTATATATATATATATATATATGTATGTATGTATATATATATGTATACATATATATATATTTTTTTAATGTTTATTTATTTTTGAGAGAGAGAGACAATGCAAGTGGGGGAGGCACA